CCTCCGAATTTATGGGTCAATTACTGGGGGGTTAACTAGTCGATCAACTCTAAGCTGAACTTCCAGTGAAAACTAAAGCCTTACCTTATAAAATGAGATCTTTGCTATAAATAGAATTCTATTTATGGTGAATGTCCATATTTAGAGAGATTCTAGGGTTTATTACTTGGTGGCTAAGTCAACCTCTCCCTATAAATAGAGGGTTCTATTCCATTGTAATTCATCCCAAATCAATAAGAATTCTCTCCCTCTACTTTTCTCTGCAACACTCTTCTTCTTCTTTTATTGTTTTATAACACGTTATCAGCACGAGACTCTAACCAATTGAGTAGAAGCTTTGGGATTGAGCATAATGATTGTCAATTATTCCATGAACTTCTTTCATGATTAAATTCTGGATTTAAGGTAAGTATTTTACCGTATTTTTCTCTTTTATTCTATACTTTGATTTTAAATACAAGCAAAGATAACAAAGTTTGATTATAACTCTAATGGAGTTTGTAAGAAATTATAACCACCTGAAGTGGTAAAATTTCTATGCCTCGCCATGATCAAATTCATGTATGATTGTGGGCAAAGAATTGAAAACCCGTCCCATTGAATTTGCTCCATTCTCATTCCCTTAAGAGAATGTGATAGCAGTATGTAATAAGTCTGAAAGAAGACAAAATTATTACTAAGAATGTATCAATGGATATGGACGTGGTAATAGACGGAATTATAATCGTCATCATTTGTGGTAATGAGAACAATAAGGATTCTCAAAATAATCTTTCACTCTGTGAAAAATATTTGTCATTGATTTGATATGAGATTTTGTAAAGCACATATAGATGATTATGGTCCATTCATGATGTGAATGTGACAACATCTGATTTATGAATACATATTCATTCTTCAAAGAATATGAACGTGCTAGTGGTAGTGAATATACCGCACTCACCTCTAAAAGGAGGTTTGAGGTGATATAAGAAAATAATGTCATCATTATGGCATGAATGGTCATTGGTCACGTACCTATTGTACGCCAAAATATTTTGGCATTGTAATTGTTAAAAGATAACGGTAATGCAAGAAACAGATCTTGCATATAATTTTGACCATAACCATAATGGTATAACTTTCTCTTTAAAAGAGATATTCATCATATGGGTGTTGATGAATATGTGGTACTACAAAATTAATTGAGAACTCTGCAAGAGCCAATTATATTATTTTGGAGAAACACAATTAATTACCAATAAGGTATTGTGTTGTAGTAAGTCTCAAAGAAACTTAATTGAGTTTCTAAAGTATTCGCGAAAGCGGTTGGTCATATTGAGACTATAAATAAAGGAAAGATTTAATATCTTCTATTACTACAACTTGTAGCGAGGTAATATGTATGTGAAAAGCTACCCGCTTTATTCTCCAATTTGTTCTACATAAACAAAAGAATACCACAATGAAGTGGATATTTATTGATATAAAAACCCATATCATAATAAACTTGGAGTTTATTCATAATTGCACACATTATGGTGTAACCTGAAGTTTATCAATATTGATAATTTATCCAGTTGGCATAATTGGTTTAGCCATGTTAATTCAAGTACGATGTGCAAAAATAAAAGAGAATTCACATGGGTAAATATTAAAGAACTAGAAAGTTCTTTACGAATTCTCTTACATTGCTTGTTCTCATTAATTAATAGATCAACTAAAATTGGGATTGAATCCCATGAATAATGGAAATATCAAAGGTGAATATGGGCCCATTCACCTGCCATGTATACCACATAAGATGCATCTGTGAGATAGTTGCATGTGCGATTATTGTTAACCCGCAACATGGTGTTTGCGAGGTAACTTGCTCAATAATTTGATTTAGAGCATAATTTCCAGATTTTCTATTCAAGAAGTTCATCTTGATAAGTTGGTTTACATCACAGTTGGTTTAGCAAAATAATTTATTGAGTGCCTCCACTTAATAGCTAAACTATTGCTTATGAGAACAAAGTTATCTATATCTGTTTGATATACGTTATATACGAAAGTATATTATTTTCTCCCCTTACAAGTGGTTCATGGTCAGGAACCAAATAATTCCATCTTATTATTATTGATGTGCGGTGTATATTTTGATTAACACCATAAAGCACAAAGATGAGTTCTCAAAGTTGAGAAAACAAGTAAGTTTTTCTAACATGAGGGGGAGACATGATAAACAGTTGAGAAAAAGTTATGTGGAATGAATTATCATTTGTTCATATAGATCCTCGAATAAGATAATATAAATTTGAAGTTCATAAAAAGGATAATTCATGTGCAATTTATTGCAAACCATGCCAGTGCATTTGCTGACCCAAAGAAAGTAACTATATTCTCATTGCAAATGCTCATATTAAGTCCTAGAAGGACAAAGGCTATGGTACGCTTATAGCATACAGACAAATCGGTTTCAAATAAAACTTCTTGATAAAAAAAATGAGCAAATGATCAAAATGATCATAATAAAGGAGGCAAGTGATCTAGAAGATCACATGACATAACACTTCATAAAATCTCATGAAAGATTCAGGTACCTGAATATATGAATGAAGAGATCTCTAAGTTATGTCTTTATGAAAAAATATTGAAACTGATATAAAATGTTTGTCGACGACATCTATGATAGCGCTAAATATATATATGAGGATCTTAAGTCTGAAGAAACAATTCGAATAGAATTGGTTTCATATGAAAGACATGTAGTTTTGAACATGTAGTTCAAACACTTGAAAGTATAAAGTCAATAGTATGTGCAATCAGTTTTCGATATCTTATATGTCTAGCATGATATGAAAACTTGATATGCATCTAAAGTCTATTATATGGCTTATATGACTTAACAATCCCTGAAGGATTTAAATTGCTTAAAGCATATAAAATTCATGGTCATGATGTACTACATCCTCAGTGCAATTTGTGCACAAATGTATCTTGCTATAATTATATGCATGATAATATGATAGCAAGAGTTTTCACCTCTATGTGAAGATATTGAACTGACGATTCCAACAAGATCATATGAAGACAATTCATCTCTATCAAGGATGATGATTTCAAGGTGAAACAAATTCGTTGAAGTTAATATGGCTGATATTGTTTATCAAATATCTACCAACGATCTTTTGAAGATGGTGCATAAGATTGGAATGCAAATGCTTAAGGATGTGAATTAATGCTCTAATCAGGGGGAGTTAATACGCGTTGTACTCTTTTTCCCTTACAAGGTTTTGTCCCACTGGGTTTTCCTTGCAAGGTTTTTAACGAGGCAACCGAAGGCGTATTATTAGATATGTGTACTCTTTTTCCTTCTCTAGAATTTTTTCCCACTGGGTTTTATTTTAGTTAAGGTTTTAACGAGGCACATTATCTGTTGAATAGACATTCAGGGGGAGTGTTATAAATAGAATTCTATTTATGGTGAATGTCCATATTTAGAGAGATTCTAGGGTTTATTACTTGGTAGCTAAGTCAACCTCTCCCTATAAATAGAGGGTTCTATTCCATTGTAATTCATCCCAAATCAATAAGAATTCTCTCCCTCTACTTTTCTCTGCAATACTCTTCTTCTTTTATTGTTTTGTAATAATTTGGCTTTTTTCTTCATTTCAACTAGCTTTGAGATGCCGGACGGGAATGATGAACGTAAATACTTATTTTGGGCATAGTGTCTTTATTTGCTTTCTTTAATTATCACAAAGACTTGTAAGGAACTGCGTCGTTAAGATCTGCTCCTTGTTGTAACAACTCTCTTTAAATTCTTGCCTAATAAAATCCGTCGTTATAGGAGGAAAGAAAAACTAGCTTTGAGATAATTTTAGCCACTGAGGGGTGGGGGTGGGGGTGGGGGTGGGGGATGTAGAATCATTTTATGATTTAATTCAAAATAAAATACTTTATTTTTTTAATTATTTATTTTTAACAGAAAAATTCTTTTTATCTTTTAAGATTTTATATAGGACAAGGAGAAGCAAATTCCTGATTGTCTACCGTATATCACGCCTAAAGATATGGATATAGCTAGCCAATAGTTTGATTTTTCACCGAGCATTTTCTTATTTATATTCCTTATTTTGTTTCTTCATATTATTTCGGTTAGTAATTGGGAATTGGCGAGAAAAGAGAAAATCATTTTTATATTCACTTTTTAATTAAAATTAATTTTATTGAATATATTAAGATATAAAAAAATTCAATTCAACAAAAAGACACTCATATTCCTATAATTTAAGTAGATGCAAGATATATAAATTTTCTTTTCCTAATTGTTGAAGCTTCTGTTCTTGGAATCTTCTTTTTTAATAAACAGTATATATCGAATAAGAAATAAGAGTGGTAAATTATATTAATAAAAAAAAAAAACGTTCGCTATATTTTAAAAATATATACTAAATGTTTTATCACTTCCCTACCCCACCAAAAATTTAGGAATCCAGTTTGAATTCTAAAAGGCTAAATCTTTCTACTAAAAATTCAAGTAGAATTTACATTATTATATATCGCCCAATATTGTGACATCAAAATTATTTTTCTCTGCCTTTAATATCTAAAGATCCTTTTATCTTCTATTTCTTATTTGTTTTTCTTTATGACAACGTAAAACTCACAAATAGAGTTTATACTAAAAATTCAAGTAGAATTTACATTAATATATATGTACAAATATTACTACATCCTTTATCATGGGAAATATTCACTAATCATATATCATGTGTATATATAAGTCCTTAGTCTTTTTCCTTCTTCCTTAATATAATTCTCATTGTTTTAAGAGCATAATTATTTGCAGATATGGAGATTAATAGGGAAAATTATAATCAAATATTATCAGACGAACAATTTTTCGAATCAATTCCAATAGGTTATAGGTTTTTACCAACAGATTGTGAGCTTGTTGAGTTTTACTTGAAGAAGAAAATCAATGGATAGTGACACAAGCAAAAGGAAGATCATGTACAGCAAAAATTCTGAAAATGATCTACGCAGAACACATTCATGGGATATGGAGAGAGAGGAACAGCAGAATATTTGAAAATACACGGAGAACAACAGAGCAGATTGCACGAGAGATAGCATGTGTTTGCAACGTCAGAGCCCAAGGTGAAATGAGGAAGAAGATGCAGCAGTTTAAATATTGACCAGCTTATTTGTAACGATCTGTGTACTGCTTCTAAAATAGGATAGTATTAGATTTTATATAAAGACTAAGTGAGTCGAGGAAGACTCAACTGCTTGTAAATGCTTCTTTGGTGATTAATGAAAAACATAATTATCAAAAAAAAAAAAATAATGGTGAAACTTTGCCAAGAAATAGAATTCGTGAAATATATATCAATCAACATCATCCTCAAGAACTTTGCAGTAAGTCTTTTGTCTGAAATTTTTACTTCTATTGGTTGTCCTTTTGTTGGTTTTCTTTCTGTTGTGTTTAGATGAGTCAGCTTGTGCGCATCTCGATTATTTCATTTTTTTTTCTAACCATGGTGTCTAGGTTAATTAAGCCTCGACTATTTCACTTGGTTCCTACTATCTTCTACAGCTTGTGCACACCTCGATTATTTTACCTTTTTTATGGTGTCAGGACTAAGCCTCGACTATTCTACTGGGTACCTATATCTCCTACCAGCAAAGATACTAGATAACGTGTTTTGTCCATCAAAACTTGAATAGATAAAAAAAAATCACATGATATTTTTTGCTCCTGTTGGAATTTAAATCTGAGAACTCATGGTTCTTTCTACCTTTATTGACCATTAGGTCAACCTTCGAATGTTGAAACATTGATGTTTTTTCTTTAGAACTATAAAAAACGATGTGGAAAAACATTACTATCGAAACCCTAATTATATTATCTGGTGCGATAATTTTTTATAATAAACAAGATTATTATAAAAACGTGTAAAAACACTTTATTAATTATTGGTTGTCTAGGATTAATTTAGTGGGTTTAATGATAAAGAAAGGAGTAACTAATTTAAACAGTTGCACGGTTTCAAAAGGTTGTTAATTACCAATTAGGAAAGAAAGTTATGTTGCTAGAAATACTCAAAATAAAATTAAGAGAGATAGATAAGCTCAAGTCCAATTTCCACATATAGTGGATAAGTATTTTAGTGGGAAATAGGTGGACTTGTAAAATCTAGTAAAATGTTTACTGAATTAGACTTAATAAAATATTTGTGACGATTTTATGACAGAATTCATTAATGTTGCGTATTTCGAAAAATAATATGCCGCAAATATTATTTTTTTCTTATAGTCATGATATATTTATTGTTAGCCGTGGCGGAGCCACATATATACACCCCGCCACATACCCTCAATGGTGGTCAGTTTGGTTAACACTTCTACTCAAAAATCGTACAATATATATCAAATTTGAGAGGTGGAGTCTTGGCGTAACTGATAAAGTTGATGTCATGTGACCACGAGGCAACGGGTTCGTGACGTGGAAACTGGCTTATTGAAATAGAGGGTAAGGCTGCGTACAATAGACCCTTGTGGTCCGGCCCTTCCCCAGACCTCGCGCATAGCGAGAGCTTAGTACACCGGGCTGCCCACACATATATCAAATTTCAAACATTCTTAGCGGAATTTTTCGTTTTACCAATGGTTGGTGCATATAACTTAATCCTATCGGAAATGACCTCTCTACAGATACCATTTGTCAGATTATATTGGGTATGTTATTGTTGTTATTGCAAAAGTAGCCATTTTTAAACAATTTTTTAATTTGCATATCTTTCGTACAGATGGGCCACAAAGAGAAAAGAGCTGGTATTTCTTCACTGGAAGGAAAAGAAGGTACAAAAATGGAAGAAAACCAAATAGACAAGTGATAGGCAAAAAAGGCTATTGGAAAGCTACAGGTGTTGATTCAGAGGTTAAATACAATGGCCAAATTGTTGGCTACAAAATGACACTTGATTTTTATGAACAAAATGGAGTAAAATCTCAATGGAAAATGCATGAATATCGTCTTGATCGTAAAAGTTCTCTACCTCATGCAAATAGCTCAATTGAATACCAGGAGGTTAGTATTATATTTACTCATTTGCATAATAGTTGAGTCGGGGAAACAGCCACTAATGCTTGTATTAGTGTAGTCTGTCTACATCAAACTCCCTTAGGGTACGGCCCTTCTCCGGATCCTGCGTGAACACAGGATGCTTGTGCACAAGATCGCCCCTATATTTGCATAATATATACTGCGTAAAGAAATATTTACATTATTATGTCACCTAATCTGATATAGCAGGTAACATTGCTTTATTTTTAATATTACAAATTTTATTTTTTGTGAAGTCTTCTTACCTATAAATATCATTTGGATGACATGATAGTTTAAAATTTTCTTTATAGCAACGATGTGTATATAACTTAAACTCACTTATTTTAGTTTTTACTATTTGTTTGTGTGTTTCTACTTTTTTTTGTGATTAGACTATGGTTTACTGCTAGTTGGGGTTAAACGACCATGTAGCTCACTTACTGATGGAAGGATGACATTTATTATAATTTTTCAGTTTTATTTTATGTGACACTATTATTATTATTATTTTTAGTATGTTTAAAAGATAAGTCAACTTTCCATATTTGGAAATAGTATAATTTTGAACTTCCTATTTTGCACGTGGTGATATATTTTTATAACCACAAAAATATTATATTCCTAGTATGTTGCCAAAATTTCAAAGAACTTTCTTTCTTAAACATCATGTCTAATCAAACACCAATATGTGTATCGGTGTGTGTATATATATATATATATATATATATATATATATATATATATATATATATATATATATATATATATATATATAT